ACCGTGGCTGCGCTGATGGGGTCAAACCCAAGAACAGCTGGGATGGCACAGGACCCGGGAGTGCCGTTCGGTCATGCATAGGGTCACTGTGGTTCCGAGCCAACCCAATGGCACATAACAACAGCCACAGTCCCCAGAAGATGGCGCTGGTTTGCAGGTAGGCAGTGCTGAGGGACTTCCTTTGTTTCTTAGGGATGGGAGCTTGCATTCCTTTATTTCCACTTAATTTTTATGGCAAGGGCATGCAACTTTTGTCATAAATTACTATCTCCCCTGTGGGTCTTCTGCAAGTCTATTTGGGAAATTTTATATCGGACATGGCCCAATGAACACAGCTCAAACAAAGAATTCAACCATGAAGAGTCAAGCCATCTTTTTTAAGGATCCCCACCCCATCCCACCCTACCACCTCCCCAGGGGCTGAGGGGATACAGGGAAACAAGCTGTACACACACACACACACACACACACACACACACACACACGCCTATTTAATATCACATCATTCACTTTTCATCTGTAGCAAAAAGGATCTGGACCAGCCAAGTTGACACAATGTCTAACTATCACAGGAAACAAAGCTATTGAGTTGCATTTATTCACAGGCCGCCTAAAATTAGAAATATCTTTGAAGCCTTTAGAGTCTCACTTGCACTGCAGGAATGAAACATAATAACTTATTTGTTGTGCTAGTTAGGTTTTGCGTTAACTTTGCAGGACCAAGATTCTCAGTGGTTTGGTTGTTAAAACCTAGTGGCCCCCATGGCATGACCAACACAATATAATCAACCCAATCTTGATATACATCATGAGCAGCCACCCAGTCGTAAAAAGATTAGGGTGGAATAGAATCCCTTTACTCAGGTCACAACCCTGCTACAATTGAAAGAAGGTTTCCTCAGGCATGTGGCCTACCTCCTGTGTATGTGGATGCTATAGGAAAATTTGCTTACTTTTTGCTGAGTCTAGATGCTGCATCTGGCTCCTGGACTTCCAGGTCTGTATATTTGAGTTTGTTGTATTGCCCAACGAGTCTGGGAAGTGTCAGTGAACTGACATCTGACCTGCTGCTCTTGGATTCATTTCCTCTGCAGCCAGTTGTCTTTCTGCCAATCATCAGGCCCCCCAGCTACAAGAGTCTGGAGAAGAATCTACCCTAACACCCAACCATGAACTGGGAAACTTCCTGGACTCACACTTGCCAGCTTCTACAACCATGTGAGCCATATCTTTGATGTAAAATTATAAATTCATATATACATATAGATGTATATATTATATCTATATGTGGTTGTGACATAATCTGTTGTCCATTTGAGACTTAAGGAATGTTTAGTCTGTCAATCAGGTCACAGCTTGATGACCTCATTTGGAGGCACTAAGGAGATAAACAGCTTGCTGGAAGCGGGACATGAGCTCACTCTCTGAGAGACATACCTGTGGACAAGATATAAGGAGCTATGCTAGAGCCCTGGAGCTGAAGGAGCTACTTGGGGACCCCTGCCAGCACTGAGATGCTTCCATTGCCACTGGATCCACAAGACTCCCCAACCCACTGGCCTGTGATCTTCCTGCATTCAGCATCATTACATGTGTTTCATGAGACTGAAGAGGACTTTATGGATTGGTATCAGACATATGGGCTAATATCAGACTTATTGACTTGATCTGGAATGGGCTGGGATGCTTTCTTAATGTACAATTATTCTTTATATAAAGCTCTTTCCTATACACACATGACTGTATATCAATTTGTTTCTCTAGTCTACCCAGACTAACGCACTATATATCATTGGTTCTGCTTCTTTAGAGAGCCTAGCTTAAGAAAGACATTAAGAATAAAAATTTAGATCTTTAAAATAAAAAAAGAAGAAAGAATATTTTATTGCTATCAGTACTGTCAAATAGATTGACAGATATATTTATCATTATGTAATAGACTTTACAGAGGATACACTTCTATTATATAGTGTGTGGCCATACAATGTGGCTTGTAGCCAATGTAAGACTCCAACCCAACTGCCCGGTTTCAGGAACACGTGTCTTAAGTGAGACTGGTTGCATCACACCATAAAGGATCAAATGTCACTGCTATGTTTCCACATACAACATGATGAAAGGAATTTTGTCCATACAATCAATAATGCTGCCATAGGAAAATGTCAATACACAAAGGGCAAAGACTATAGCCAATTCAAATATAGCATATTTGAATATGCTAATACATAAGTAAGACAATAGAATATCCTATTCCATAGTTCAATGACTCAACCACATTTTGTCTTGGAGTTAAAAAATTTCAAATGTATTCCATAATTTACAAAGTCAAGGTAAAACTCCTTAGCCTACCTCATATCTCACCAACTTTAAGTACCACCTATTTCCGGTCACACAGAACTACTCGCCATTCCACCACATGTGTCATCTTTTAGCTGCAGGGCATGAAGAGAAGCCAGAGAAGTTGAACAGAGAGTATAAGAGGTGCAGTGCTTTAGAGGAGGCTGGAGGAGGAGACGGGTCAATCACATAGGCTTTTGGAGTCATGATAAACAGGTTGTGATTTATTCCAAATGAAACAGAAAGCCATTGACCAGTTAGTCAAAGGAAGGTAATAATGCTATATATTTTTTTAAATTTTTTTCTTTTGCTTGTTGTGTCAAGAACTGATTTCTCACATCCTGGCCCACCAAGCCCTGAGGATGATATTCCTACTCAGAGCAGCCAATGCACAGAGAAGAACATAGGGCCGGCCCCACCACAAGACACGATGTCTCTCACTGACCATAGCACTACAGTGGTCAAAACTGGAGACACAGTGCGGGAATTGTGCCCGATCCGACCCCACCACTTCAAAGCAAAACACTAAGGGTGTGCAACAGAGTAGCACAGGGGAACAAAGCAATGAAGTCCCCAAGGAATCCCAAAAATAGACTTCAGGGGCAGGGCATGGCACCTCATCAGACTCGACCAGAAAACATTCATAAAGGTCAACAAACAGACCTGGAACTATTTATAGGCTTTTCTTTTTGTTATTGCTTTGTTTTTTTGTTGTTGCAGTTTTACTTTCCTTTGTTTTGTTTATGTGTTTATTGTTATTTTTGCATATCTATCTAGATAAATAAGGTGGGATAAACAATCCTGAAGGGAAAACAATGGGACAGACAGTTCTGAGGAGACATGGGAGAGGGCAAGGTGGGAGGGCAGGGAGATGGAATAGGAGGAAGGAAGGGAGAAGAAACCAGGAATAAGGGAACAACAAGTGATCTAAAATAGATGGTGAGGAGGGCATAGGATGCCTGGTGGGGCTTGATCAGTGCAGGCAAGAGGAATTAATGAAAGCTGAATGAAGGTAGAACATGATAGTGGGACAAGCAAGAAGAAAGTAAAAGGAAATAGAGGAAAGAACTAAGAGGCAAAGGGCATTTATAGAGGTCTAAATACAGGCATGTACATATGTAAATGTATGTATATGTAATAATAGGGAAATCGATCTATGTGCATATATTTATAGGTTAAATATTAAGGTAACAGATGAACATTTGGCCTCTACTCAAGTACTCCCTCAATACAAAAGCACTTTGTTCTAATAACCTGGCATTCTGTGATGCTCACCCTTTCAACACTGAAGACAAAATGGGTGCTTAAGCAATTGTGATGAAGAAAGCTGATGGTGACCAGCTATAGATAAATAAGCTGCCATCTAACTGAGAAGCAACAATCATGAGGTGTCGATGGGATCAGGTATCAGGCATCAAAGACCCAGAACAAAAATCATATTGATATAAATGAGGGGGAGGCTAGAGTGGAGACTCAAAGCCCATCTGTAGACAACTGGACATCCCCTTACAGAAGGGTCACAAGGACGAGACGAGCCAGTCAGGGTACAGTATAGTACCGATGAAACATACAACTTTCTCCTAATTCTTTAATGCTTTCCCCCTCATTATCATAACCCCAATTCTACCTTACAAATCGTGCTAGACCAGAGCACACACAGGTACAGATAAGAGCTCACAACACAGGGAATCCAAGACAGATAAGCCCCTCAGGACCAATAATGACAGTAGCCATACCAGGAGGGTAGGAGGAAGGTGGGGAGAGAAAGGGGGAAGCAATCACAATGATCGGTATAACCCCGCTACCCCAGGAGGACAAACAACAGAAACATGGGTAAAGGGAGACTGGTCGGTGTAAGACATTGAGAAAAAAAATTATAAATTATCAAGGGTTCACTGGGCAGGGGGCGGGGGTGAGGAGGAGGCGAGGAGCTGATACAGAAGGCTCAGGTAGAAAGAAAATGTTTTGAAAAGAAATGTTTTGAAAAATGGCGGCAACAAATGTGCCTGACACAATGGACTGTGATAATTGTATGGATTGTGATAAGAGCTGTGAGAGCCCCCAATAAATAATTTTTAAAAAAAACAAAACAGTCCCTTGACTAAACCTACTACCAAAGTGCCCTCTGAACTAACCTATTGTTTTAAAATAAGTCGTGTAATCATCATCCGAAAAGCATGATTATACTGCTCAGATAAAAGCATTATGAAATTTAAATGTTTTAAATAGACTATGATTTTTGTCAAAAAGAAAAGAAAGAACTGATTCCCACGGATGAGCAAAAAGCGGATGGTATAGTCATAAGACCAGAAGATAAATCCATCCCAACTATTTAGCTTGATAATGCTCAGTCTTTATCAAGATTCTACCCAAGTATCTGTTCGTCAAGGAAACTCATTTCACGAGGTCTGAGTTTAGCTAAGCAAGTGAAATGAACTGTCTGCCTAAGTAGTAGAATCTAGTTTCAAACATCTGTGAATCCAAGAAGAGGTCTCAGATTTCCTTGTTGTGATTTCTTTGACCGTTAATCGAACTCAGCACAGATTTATTCTGCATACGCTCCTTTCAGGGTCTGTCAATGTTTAGTGGATTTCAAAGGTCCTGAGTGATTTTCTTTTTTTCTAGAAAAGGGCAGACAAGTTAAAAGGATATTTTGTCTTTTGTTTTGTTTAAAACTAACCCACCTGCTACAAAAGCATGGAAGTCAGTTTCAGTGTTACTTTTCCTCCTTTTGTAACCACTGGGATTAATGTTTAGATCTGATGGGAAAGGAAACTGGAAAGTGTTCAAGGCTTGGCCCTCCCCTCTTCCGCGCCCCCCCCCCCCTCCTGCAACCTTTATTTGTGGAATATAACACACAAGGAAAAACATACAAAACATAGCTGCACAGTGTAACCGTATCCCAGTCACACTCTCCTCCATTGCCCCCATGTACAGCATGTTCCCCCCTGCCCTCTTTCCCTGTCCCTCCCCACTCCCTTCTTACCATAGCCTTCCTTCAAAGTCTGCCTCTTTGGGTGAGAAAACCACTTTCCTCCGGGGTTTTTTCCCCTTTATAATAATGGTGTCATGAAGTCTTTTTCTTTATGAATTTGATTTATTTTTCAGAGCATAATATCTTCCAAATTCATTAATGTACTAAGGTGTTTCACAGTATTATTATTGATTTTTAGAGATACATAAAACCCCATTGTGTGTATTTACCAGAGTTTATTTATTGATTCCTCCCTCTATGGGTGGGATTTAGAAAATGTTACAACAAACATGAGTGTGCATATATCTGTCCATATTTTGTTCTTTATTTTGGGGGGCATACACCAAGTAGAAGGAGTCCTTGGGGTTGCGTATTGGGAGGCTAATGTCAAAGTCAGAAGTTCAAAGCCACCAGCCTCTCCCCAGGAGAAGGAGGTGGCTTGCTACTCCCTTAATGAGCTGCAGTCTTGGAAACCTACAGGGCAGTTCTACATCGTCCCGTGTGCTTGTTAAGAAATGGCATCAACTCACCACAGTGAGTTTAGGGTTTGGGTTATCAAGTAGAGAGCGTACAAAAGCATATGGCGTGTCTGTTTGCACTAGGTGTGCAATTCTGTAAGCTCACCAGCAATGTCTGAGTGTTCTGTCCACATCCTCCACAGCACTTTTTAGTTTCTTCTTGGTTTTCAAATTTGCAGTCCTTGTTGGTGTGAGGTGGCATCTTATCAGTTTTAATTTGCATTTATAGCTAAGGATCATGATTTGGGGCCTCCAAGATGCCATCTTTAGTGAATGTTCTACCATGTCTTCTGCCTGTTTTTTATTAGATTATTTGTGTTTTTCTTATTAAGGTGTTACAGTTTTCTATGGGTTTTTCAGATTAGCCCTTTATCCAATGTATCATTGCCCAAGAAAAGTTCTCAATCTGTGGGTTCCCTTTTTACTCTTTCAGTGAAGTCTTTGGTGTACATAAACGACGTCTTTTGATGAGGTCCAGTGCTCTATTTTTCTTTGGCATGTCGGTGTGTTTCATTATTTTTGAACGTCTGGTAGTGTCTTCATGTCTTGTATCAGTGCCCTGAAGTTTGTCCCTATTTTTTCATCGGTGATAATTATAGTTCTAGGGTTTATATTCAGTTCTTTAATCCACCTTGAGTTCCACTTTGTAAATAGCATGAGGTATGGGTCCTGTTTCATACTTTTGCAAGTGGAGAACCAATTTTTCCACGCTCCTTGACAAGACCTACTGGCCCTCCCTGATTTGAAAAGATGATCTCTTCCCCATTATTACCAAAATTCCCAAAATTCCCATGCTACTCTTTCTTTCCCCTGAACTTAATTCACTCAGTAATTCATGTATTTATTTATTGCACTGTGCTAGAAGGTAGGTAACCAGTGGTAAGCAAAAGCGACATGACTCTCTCTTTTCGATCTTTGGACGGGTGTATAAATAATATATACTAAGACAGTAATGTAGGCATCATAAAGTACAGTAGGGGACATCGAAAAGAATTTCTATTTCAGTGGTGAAGTCAGAAAAGGTTTGCCTGAGGCAGTAGTCATTGGGTTGGTACATAGGACATGAGAAGAAATAACCTTGGGAAAAACCTAGGGACCAGGTATGGTGCGCAGATGGAGGAACACTGTCAGCAGGAACTAAATAACTTGACAGGGTACTGGAACTGATTGGAACACCAAGCAGTGGAAGAAAGTATAAAAGATAACTTCACAAGAATAACTCAGGAATCGAGTTTAGCATCTGTTCAAATGAAATGGAAAGCCACCACAAAGACTACAGAAGGGAATTGTCATGCTCTGGTTCACTTTTTAAAGATCACGCTAGCCGCCTGCTGTGTGGAGTTGGCTAGGGAGCAAGCAATGAAGAGGGAAGCAGAGGGACCAGTCAGATGGGAAAAGAGCCTGGTGTTGCCCGCCTAGCCAGAATGATGAGCTCATGCTCAAATCCCATTTTTGTAAGAAATTAATTCTGGCTTGACCTAAGTGGATCTTCCAAACTGAAAGATTCTGACATTCCTCAGACATTAAAGAAAAACCTTGGGAAAAGATGTACTTTTAAAATTCGGCGTATCTCAATTTAAAAATCAAGCCATCATTTCTTTTTCCACAAGTTCCCTTAAGTGAGTTCATTTGATAGTGGAATGGATGTAAGTGCTACTCAGCACTAAGGAGGCGGACCACCAAAGAGGAGGGAGAAAGTGTGTGACCTTGTGATGTGGTGCACAGATTCCAGAGTTAAACTGCCAAGTGCAAATCCTACAATTGTCACAAAAGAGTTTTGTGACCATAACTACTCTATGCTTTGATTTCATTCTTCTGTAAAATGGGGGCTTAATGTTTAAATAAAAGGAATGTGCTTAGAACAGCCCTTAATGCTCACATGAAAGGTTAATTAATGATGACAATAATACAATAATGATATAATTACACAATGTAGTCAAATGAAGTTTCTTCATATGGCTTTTCTATCCATGTTTCTAACTCCCACCAAATGAGTGGGTGGGACTATGCAAAGAGGGTGTGTGAAACACTAATAGAGGGGATGGGTCAGTTTTGGTTGCCACTTCCCTGGTTGTAAGAGTGTTGTCTCAGAAGTCAGAACAAAGTGAAATAAACAATCTGGAGACCCTCTCCACCCTCCTCTGGCTTCCCTAGCACCAGGAGACAGAGGCATGGCATGCCTCCATGTTCCCTCCTTCTATACCTATTGCAACACCAACCATTCCTCCTCATCTATTTCTGGGCAGGATGGGATCATTTGTTGCAATGGCCACACAGAATCCACAGACAAGCCTCTCTCTGGTCCTCAGCCTCAGCCACATGGTCCCTTGGACTTGGCCTTCATGGACCAGAAAGCCTGCCTGTCGCTCTGTCGTACAGCCCCATAACCTCGGCGCTGCTCCTCTTGCCTGCCCCATAGTCTCCGTGCCACAGTTTCTGGTGTTTCTGGTCTCAGCCTCCATCTCTTCAGACACAGATCTGAAATGTGCTCTTCCAAAGATCCTGGGCTTGCTCTCTGTGTCTCTTATACACAGAGAACTGCCTTCAGTGGCAGTGTGGTTTATGTCTTCTAGCAGAGCATACCCCCAAAGTAACAAAGCATGGTGACTTAAGTCACACCCTCTAGTGAAGTAGAGTCTAAAGGTAAATCCCACCTTAATCCAGTAGCAGAGAATGGCCTCCAAAAATGGGGCTATAGCCACAGGCATAGATTCCAGAATTATTATGTAACACATAGGGAACTATCGGTAAAAGGGCCACATTAGTTGACGACATCTCAGAAAGAAATCCCAGAACCATCCAGGAGAAAGACCTGCCAGTAGAGCACTTTCAAGATCCCTGCCATCGATGTAGCAGAAGTCCAGAGCAGAGGCACCCACCCAAGGCCACTGCATAGAAGCCACACCAAGACAGAGCAGAGTGGCCGAGCTGCTGAGGCCGCGGTGAGACAGTGAGGTGGGGCAACAGGCAGGTTTCCAGGCCCCTGGGGGCTGAGGCCAAGAGACCACAGCACTGAGTGGCTAAGGAGACTTGGCAGCTAGCTTAAGAGAGGTGCTGTTGTGGACCAGCGAATGCATCCTGACTAGCGGAGGTTACACGTTAACTTCCCAAAACAGCAACAAAAACAGAAGTGAGTTTTGTTATGTGTTCTGTGTGGCCACTACACAAATTATTGCACCCAGCAGAAAAGCAGAGTGCAGCTGGATGGATGGTTGTGTCAGACTAGGGTCATGAAAGATGGAGAACATGCCTGACCTCTGTCTTGGGCTTATGTGAACTTAGAGTCTCCTTCTCCCTTGGGTAGCCAGAGAAGGTAAGATGTGGCCTCTGTACCATTTCTGCACACAAGTTCACTGCTCACTAGCCATAGGGCCTTGGGCAAGTAACCTACTTAAAGAAGTATTTGCTAAGCCTCCCAGTTTCCTTGCACGTAAATGACATAGGACCATTGTGTTTTTCTGATAGGTTATTTGAAGCAGCAATTAAGATAGTGGGCCAGCATATGGATGCCTTAAACTCAGTGGATCCATACAATAAGCAATATCCAAATAGTAAATACCATACAATACCAGAATGATCCCATATAGTGAATGCTCAGGAACTATTGACTGATATCACCTCAGTCTTTATGATTCTTATCAGAGAAAAGCCCACTGTCAATTGACAAATAAGTTTGCCCACGCTTAATAAACTCCTGGATTCAAATCCTAGACCCCATTCTACCCTTAACAAAAGTGCTTAGTCTCTCTAAATCTCAGCTCCCTCATCTACAGATGAGAATTTGTCACGGTGCCTACACATGTGTTTATGAGGGTCTGAATGGCAGAGTGTTGGCACTCGACTAGCCATGCCTGTTAGCGGTTCACATGAACTCGGCAGTGCTGCGAAAGAAAAGCAGGGCAATCTGCTCCTATAAGCCAGCCAACCAGGAAGCCTGTGGAGCGGCTCTAGTGCGTCTGTGACCCTGCGGTAACTGGAGTCCAAATGGACTTGAATGGGTCTGGATTTTGTTGTTGTTTCCCAATGCACTTACAATAGTCCTTGGGTGAAGCCAGTGGTTGATACATTAGCTACTAACTAGAAAATTAGAGCCTGAAGGAAAGGTCTGTAGGATAGAATTAGGATCATGATAGTTGGGGGGAGGAAGCATTCAAAAACTAGAGGAAAATTGTATGTTTCATTGTTGCTACACTGCACCCTGACTGGCTTCGTCTCCTCCCCGTGGCCCTTCTGCAAGGCGATGTCCAATTGCCCACAAATGGGTCCTGGGTCTCCACTCTGCACTCCCCTCA